GAAAATATTTCATAACAATAAAAGAATTTTGAGAGAAAGATATAATATTAAATGTAAATAGACTTAATAACAAACCTTCAAAATACATGAAGCAAAAATTTAAAGATTAAAAAAATAAATCCATAATCACCTTTAGACATTTTAACACACCTGTCTCAGTAGATGATAGAAAAAGTTCATATAATGTTAGTAAGAATATTAAACATTTAAACAATAATGTAACTAACTTGTACTAATTGATATAAGCAAAATGCTGAATCAAATATTTGCAAGTTAAATATTATTTTCAAATATACATGAAGCTTTACCAAAATAGACCTTAAATTCAGCTATTAAGCAGATCTCAACTAATATCAAAGGTTAAAAAAGACTCACAGTATGTACTCAAACCACAGTAAAATTAAGTAGAAATAATATGAGCAATATAACCAGAAAATCCTGAAATGTTTGGTAACTTGGCTACATATTTTTAAATAACTTGGTCAAAGAATATAGAACAATGGAAATAAGCAAATATTTTGATTGGGCTTTATAAAGAAGCAAAATTATGTGTTAATTTTTCTGAACATAGTTACAAAAATTCTAAATCAAATATTGGCTAGTTGAAATAAAATGATGTAGAAATCTCATGAGTAAGTTTGGTGTATTCTAAAAGGCAAGATGGAATTAACATTTAAAAGATAATGTAATTCTCCACAGATTAAAAAATAGGATTATGTTGCTAGAATAAATAAAATCAACTGGTGAACTTCAACACCTCTTCATGATTTCATAAAATCAGTAGTTTATGAAGAGAAAGAAGTTTCTTTTATTCCTTTTTTTTTTTTTGGTAAGGAAGACTGTCCCTGAGCTAACATCTGTGCCAATCTTCCTCTATTTTGTATGTGAGATGCTGCCACAGCATGGCTTTAAGAATGGTATGTAGGTCCACGCCTGGGATCCAAACCCACAAACCCTGGCCTGCTGAAGTAGAGTGTGTGAACTCAACGATTATGCCACCAGGCCAGCCCCAGAAAGAAGTTTCTTAATCTGATAAAGACTATCAACAAAAAACCAATAGTTACCATTATAATTATGTGTGGAATATTTATATCCCCATCATTTTGGTAACAAATCAAAGATATCCATTGTCACTTATTGTATTGGAGGTCTTAGCCAGTGCAATACATCAAGTAAAAGAAATAAAAGTTATGAAGACTAAAAAGAAGAAAAAAATACTCATTCATATATATAAGGATTACAAACACAAAACATCTAAAGAAATTTACAGACTAACTGTTAGAATTGATAGATAAAATTAAGTTCACCAGATTCATGTCAACATAAAAATATCAATTTTATTTTTATATAATGGGAAAAAATAATATTAAAATATAAAACAATATACTATTTTTGGTATATTAGAAAAGAATTGCTTAGGAATAAATGTAATGAAAGATACAAGTTAACTCTACAGAGAAAACAAATGTTTATAAAATTAAAGAATACCTACATAATTTGAGGGATAAGCTAAGTTTATGAATTGGAGAACGATATTTTTAAGATGTCTATTTTTCCCAAATTCATCTGTAGATTCAATGTAATCTCAGTTAACATCATGCAAGTATTTTTGTTGAAAAAAAAAAACTAGATAGCAATTTAAAAAGCCTGGAATAACTAAGATAGTCATGAAAAAGGTAAACATCCTTAGAAGATCAATAGTGACTCATAAAAACTTATAAAATTACAATAATTAAAACAGGATGCTACTTGCAAAGGATGAACACTTATATCATTGGAAGAGTATAAAAAGTCCAGAAACAGAACAGCATATATATGCAGCCCCCTGATTTATGATGTATTATGAAATACAGTGATGAAAAACTTGCCTTCTAATGAATTGGACTGGTTATTAATTGGATTTACATATGAACACAAAATCTTAACCTTAGCTCAACCCATACACAAAAAATTAAAGATACATTCTGTCTTTAAATGTGAAAGTTAAAAATATAAAGTTTCAAGAAGAAAAGACAAAATATCTTCATAATATTAGGGTAGACAAATATTTTGTAAGCAGGCCACAAACAGCACTAACCATAAAAGAAAATATTGATTACTTGGATTTTACTTAAGAACTTGTGTTCATCAAAAACACCACAAAGATAGTGAAAAGTCAAGTCACAGACTGGAAGAAAATGTTTGCAATATTTGTACAAAGGACTCTTACTCAGAATATATAATGAACAAAATAATGAGAACTAGGTAATCCAATACAAAAAAGGGAAAAAGTCTTGAGTAGGCAATTAATAAGAGAAAATATCCAAAGCCATAAAGCATATAAAAGGATGCTCAATATCATTAGTTATCAAGGAATTGCAAATAAATATCAAATGTGATAGCACTACAGGTACAAAAGGAGGGCTGAAATTAAAATGACTGATAATTGCAAGCGTTGGTGAGGATGTAGAGCAATTGGAACTTTCATACATTGCTAGTAGGAGTATAAATTATTACAATCAACTTGGATAATTCCTTGGCAGTATCTACTAAAGCCCAACGTACTATAGATATTTAGATATAAGTAGGTAAAATCATGGCTCTCATACAAATACAAAACAAACATATTTTTAACTCATTAATTAATGATGAAACAATTGAGATGTTACAACCAGTTCAAAAAAGAATTCTAAAAAATACACACATACAGAATAAAGATTTCTAAAAAGAATTTACAAATAGTTAAAAAAAAAAAAACAGGTCTACCCTCAGGACAAGAATGAAATGCATTCCCTCAGACACAATTAATTTGCATTGCTATAGGCATGAATCATTTGCATTATCATCAATTTTTGTCCACTTGAAAGTTTTTCACCTTTTTTTCCTGACAATAAGTTTACCCTATCACTGACCTAACAATTCCACTAATGAGTATATACCTAACATAAATAAGTGATTGCACCCACTAAAAGATATGCACTAAAATTTATATAGCAGCTTTATTCAGAATACCCACAACCTGGAAACAACCCAATTGACCATCAGCATTAGAATGGATGAGCAAACTGTGGTATAATCATACAGTGGAACAGCACGGAGATATGAAGTAGAATGTACTATTGTTACATGCCAAAATAAGCTGACTCTCTCAGACATATACTGAGCAAATGCAGACAGACAAAAAAAGTACATACTATGTGATTCTATTTACATGAAATTCCAGGACAGGCAAAACTGATATATGCATATCAGAATAGTGATTACTTTGGAGGAGTTAGTGCCTGGGATGGGAATGAGGGAAACTTCTGGGTTACTGGGAATATTCCATATCTTAAATGGGATAGTGTTTGTATGTATGCATTCACACATAAAATTGCATTAATCCGTATAACCAAGATTTGGGTCTTTATTTTCTATAATTTCAAAATCCATACATATGTAAAGAAAAAATGCTTGAAAATTAACACTACTTAATATCTCAAACAATGATCTTGCTACACATTACTGATTAAGAATGTTAATTATACAGATCACCTATCATGCTTGATACACATAGGAGACATTAAAATTATAGTAGGCAACTTCTTCTCTTAGATAAAAAAGACATCTTAATATTAGACTGAGTAAAAGATTAGTCTACGAAGAAATAACCTTGAGGAGCCAGTGAAAATCTAACCAAAGAAAGGAACTTGGAGAAAAATCAAACAACCATTTTAATATCTTCTAATTTATCTTTCTTGGAAGAAATAGATATTACAGATTCATCATTTGATAAAATAAACAGAATCATAAAGTATATAATTTTTTCAAATTTCTATTCTAAAACAATCTAGATATACAATTCAAATAGATACTTATAAACATAGCTTATAGTTTGGGTTCACCTTGAATGTATTTTTGCATATGTTTCTAAATGAAATTGTAAAAATCAATATACACACAATGCTAACCTAATTTGTGCAATATATTATACTTATTTTTATTTCAAAATTTATTTATTGGCTGTCATATATCCAAGTAATAGGACTTATATGTACAATATTTGTTAATATTATTTTGTCAATATACAAATTCATTTTTCTGTATTGATTCTGAATATTAAAATGATTTTTCTCAAGCAATCCTAAATATATATTCTTATTATTCAAGAGCAGTTTTTTTTTTTTTTTCTGGCTTGTTGCTTGCTATTGAATTGAAAGCTAGTGATAAAATTGAGGTTAAGAGTCAAGCAAATTAGCACTTACAGAATTTTTTAACCTAATGTATTCTAGGGTGACTTTATATCCCCTGTGGCAAACATTACTCAATAAAATTAAAAATAAGAGGGAATTTGTTTATATTTACATACAAGTACTGTTACATTTAATAGCTGGTGTTAACTTGCTATACTGCGTAGATTTAGCTAAACTGTACACATTTAAAACACTGATGCGTGATATAATGGTTTTCAAAATAATGTTAAATACAGGCGTACCTTGGAGATATTGCCACTTTGGATCTGGATCACCACAATAAAGCGAATATTGCCATAAAGCAAGTCACAGGAATTTCTTGGTTTCCCAGTGCATATAAAAGGTATGTTTACACTATACTGTAGGCCATTAAGTGTGTGATAGCATTCTGTCTAAAAAAAAAAGTACATATCTTCATTAAAAAATTCTTTATTGCTAAAAAATGCTAACCATCATCTGAGCCTTCAGCGAGTTGTAATCTTTTTATTGGTGGAGTGTTTTACCTGATGCTGATGGCTGCTGACTGATCAGGGTGGTGGTTGCTGAAGGTTGAGGTGGCTATGACAATTTCTTAAAATAAGACAATAAAGTTTGCCACATCAATTGACTTTTCCTTTCACGAATGATTTCTCTGTAGCATGCGATGCATTTGATAGCATTTTACCCACAGTAGAACTTCTTTCAAAGTTGAAGTCAATTTTATCAAACCCTGACACTGCTTTATCAACTAAATTTATGTAATATTCTAAATCCTTTCTTTTAGGATCACAGTCATTTCAACAGTCTTCACAGAATCTTCACCAGGAGTAGATTCCATCTCAAGCAACCACTTTCTTTGTTCATCTATAAGAAGAAACTCCTCATCTGTTAAAGTTTTATCATGAGATTGCAACAATTCAGTCACATTTTCAGGCTCCACCTCTAATTCTAGTTCTTTAGCTAATTGCACCACATCTGCAGTTATTTCCTCCACTGAAGTCTTGAACTCCTCAAAGTCATCCTTGAGGGTTGAAATCAACTTTTTCCAAACTCCTGTTATTGTTGTTATTTTGACCTCTTCTCATGAATCACAAATGTTTTTATGGCATCTAGAATGGTGAATCCTTTCCAGAAGGCTTTCAACTTATTTTTCCCAGATCCATCAAGGGAATCACTATCTATGGCAGCTATAGCCTTACAAAATGCATTTCTTAAATAACGAGACCTGAAATTTTAAATTACTCCTTGATCCATGGGCTGCAGAATGGATGTTGCATTAGCAGGCACAAAAACAATATTAATCTTGTATATCTCCATCAGAGCTCTTGGGTGACCAAGTGCATTGTCAATGAACAGTAATATTTTGAAAGGAATCTTTTTTTTTGAGCAGTAGTTCTCAACGGTGGGCTTAAAATATTTAGTAAACCATGTTGTGAACAGATCTGCTTTCACCCAGGCTTTGTTATTCCATTTATGGAGCACAGGCAGGATAGATTTTGCATAATTCTTAAGACCCCTAGGATTTTTGGAATGATAAATGAACATTGGTTTCAACTTAAAGTCACCAGCTGCATTAGTCCCTAACAAGGGTCAGCCTGTTTTTTGAAGCTGTGAAGCCAGGCATTGACTTATCCTCTCTAGCTATGAAAGTCCTAGATGACATCTTCTTCCAATATAAGGCTGTTTATCTAATTGAAAATCTGTTGTTTAGTGTATCCCACTTCATTAATTATCTTAACTGGATCTTCTGGATAACTTGCTGCAGCTGCTATATCAGCATTTACTGCTTCACCTTGCACTTCCATGTTATGGAGATGGCTTCTTTCCTTAAACCTCCTGAACCAACCTCTGCTAGTTTCACACTTTGCTTCTGCAGCTTCCTCACCTCTCTCAACCTTCATAGAATTGAATAGAGTTGTGACCTTGCTCTGGATTAGGCTTTGGCTTAAGATAATGTTGTGGCTGATTTGATCTTCTATCCAAACCACTAAAAGTTTCTCCACATCAGCAATAGGGTTGTTTTGCTTTTTCATCATTTATGTGTTCACTGTAGTAGCAGTTTTAATTTCCTTCAAGAACTTTTTCTTTGCATTCGTGACTTGGCTATCCGTTCAGTGCAAGAGGCCTAGCTTTCAGCATCTCTTGGTTTTTGACATGCCTTCCTCACTAAGCTTAATCATTTCCAGCTTTTGATTTAAAGTGAGAGGTGTGCAACTCTTCCTTTCACTTGAACACTTAGAGGCTATTGTAGGGTTTTTAATTGGCCTAATTTCAATATTGTTGTGTCTTAGGAAATAGGGAGACCTGAGGAGAGGGAGAGAGATGGGAGAAAGCTGGTTGGTGAAGCAGTCAGAACACATACAACATTTATTATCTATGTTCACCATCTTATATGGGCACAGTTCGTGGCACTCCAAAATAATTACAATAGTAACATCAAAGATCACTGATCACAGATCACCATAAAAAATATAATAATAATGAAAAATTTTTCCATATTGTGATAATTACCAAAATGTGACACAGAGACATGAAGTGTGCAAATGCTATTGGAAAAATGGTGCTGATAGACTTGCTCGAAACAGGGTTGCCAGAAACCTTCAATTTGTAAAAAATGCAATATCTGTGAAGTGCAATAAAATGAGGTTATGCCTGTAGTTCAGAAAGATTTTCTTTTGGGAAGAAAAGATAATTTCTTCTCATTAATCTTCTTGTAAAATGAATGCATGTGGAGAGTGATGTCACCAAAATGGCAGCATGGGAGACTCCGGTCTCTGTCCTCCCACAAAAATCAACAATTAGACAGCTATCCATGAATAAAAACAGGTCTCGGAGAGGTCTGGAGTCCACTTAAGAAACTTCAGCAGCACAATGGAACAAAAACACCTGAGAATAACCACACAAAAAGAGAAGGAAGACACCTTCACTTTGCCTGCATCATCCCATCTCCCAAGCTGACACTGCTTAGCACTAAGATGGAACTCCCCAGCTAGAAAGATTCCCCCTCCTCAGGAAAGGAAGAGCAGGGTGAGCAACCAGATTCCCAGCTTTTCGGGGCACTGCACGAAGGTCTTGCTTCAGTTTGGCCACCCAGACTGGCAAAGCAGAGACATACAGAGACTGCTAGGAACATCTTTAAGAGAAGCACTGTATGAATCACTGAAGGAGGGAGGAAGAAAGTGGTAAAAAGCTTTTTTAAAGAAATAATGGCTAAGAATATCTCAAATCTGAGGAGAGATTTGGATATCCAAGTTCATGAAGCTAATGTCATCCCAAAAATTTCAATCCAATATGATCTTCTCCAAATATATTATAATAAAATTGTCTAAAAGCAAAGACAAAAAGAACTTTAAAAGCAGCAAGAGAAAAGAAATCTCTCCTACAAGGGGACTCCTAAAACGACAGCAGTGTTTTCTCCGCACAGACTTTGCAGGCCAGAAGAGAATAAGATGATATATTCAAAATGCTGAAAGAAAAAAAACTGCCACCAAAAGTACTTTACACAGCAAAGTTGTCCTTCAGAAATAAAGGCAAGATAAAAACTTTCCCTAACAAACAAAATCTGAGGGAATTCAATACCACTAGATCTACTGTTTATTTTAATGAGTATTAGCACATTTTTTTATTGATGTTTTAATAGTTTTTAACATTGTGAAATTTTGGGTTGTAAATTTTTGTTTGTCCATCACCATATATATGACTCCCTTCACCCCTTGTGCACACCCCCACCGCCATTGCCCCTGGTAACCACAATACAGTTTTTTCTGTCCATGTGTTGGTTTATCTTCCACATATGAGTGAGGTCATACAGTGTTTGTCTCTCTCCTTCTGGCTTACTTCACTTAACATAATACCCTCTAGGCCCATCCATGTTGTTGCAAATGGGACGATTTTGTCTTTTTTTATGGCTGAGTAGTATTCCATTGTATATATATAC